TTTTGTGATAGCTGCCAAGATGACTAGGATGTCTTACCCCCTCCACTGTTGATGGCCTATAGGACAGCAGAGCATGAAGCCACTGGATACACTCCAGCAAAGTTGATGTTTGGTCAGGAACTTCGGTTGCCAGTGGATCTGTTAACAGGATGCCTACCTTATGAAAAGTTGCCTGAAAATGTGTCAGAGTTTGTGAAAGTGTTATCGGAAAGGATGGATGATATTCACCATCAAGTGCGTTCGAACTTGAAAACGTCTTCTGATTCGATGAAGTTATGTTATGATAAGAGATCTACTGAAGTCAGCTTTGTACCAGGGGACAAGGTGTGGTTGTATAATCCCAGGAAGACCAAAGGGAAGTCTCCTAAGTTGTCTTCTCCATGGGAAGGCCCATATGACATAGTGGATCGTCTCTCAGACGTGACTTTTTGGATAAAATGTGGTTGGCGAGGTAAGCCAAAGGTGGTGCATGGCAACAGGCTTTGGCGTTATCACAGTCCAGGACATTTCAGTTGGAACGAAGTGAACAACAGAGCAAATGATGCTGCTGAAGACATGTCACCTGAAAAAGCCACTGTCGAAGAAGAAACTACCCGGTTTTGAGAAGGGAAACAGTGAAGTTTAATGAAGTTACTACCACTGATGTGACCATATAACAATATAATTAAACACCTTTGTATTTGCTAAGAATAGGGGTATGTTTTTTATTAATAGGACTTTATTTATTTTTTATTTTATTAATGTTGTTTGCTCAAGGAATGATTGTTCCTAGACATGTATCCAATAAACATGAGATGGAGGTTTTAAATGTTCTTGTTGACAAATAGTAAGTTGTTTGTTTGTCTAACCAATATAACAGCTTTTGCAATCTGTACATTCAATTACATACACATTTCTTGAAGTATCGTTATTCACATACTTTTTTGATAGCAGTTGACCTACCTTTTTTTCCAGATATTTAGAATGAATTTCAATACTCAGGCCTTGTTTATGTTGACAGTTCATTGATAATATACTTTATTAAGTTTTCAGCTGCCTTGTCACATTCTTGTAGATTAGTATTGTTATAAATTCTCACATGATTCTTTTTGTAAATTGACTTGGTAGCCTGAGTTCTTGTATCTCACCTGATAAAATGTTGTGAACAAAATAAACTAAAAATTTTACTATGTACAACCAATATTATAATAATTATAATCATAAAAAAAAAAACGTTTGTGTATACACTCTGGTTTCTTTATCATTTTTCTACCTATCCCAAAGCATAGGTTTATATTTACTAAGAAACTATTGTTACGTATCTGCTTGTTTGTTAATTTCCGGTAGAAATTCTTTCAGAGGAACTTAAGCGATACAAGTCCTTTCTTAATTAAACCAGTTTATTCTTCCTCGATACAAACTTTTAGTTCACAGTAATTCCACTGTCAGTGCGTTTCTCGTCACTTTCAACTTAACGACTTTTATAATACACGCTATAAATCACAGCGATTTACAATCTCGATAACTTATCGTGACTACTGTTCGTTTTAACCATACATTCCATTGCCGCTGGCTTTTCTTGCCAGGCTTATATACTAAAGAAGAGGGTTCGTCAAAATTTGAGGAGTTCCCTGATAATTTGAGAAACTCATTCACGCATGCGTTAGCAGCGTCACGTAACTTCCGCTGGCGTAACACTATCATCCATTTCAAGTTTTGTTTCTCCTTTGATTTTCCTTCTCTTTCTCTTATTTTATTTGTATAGCTTCTGTTTTCACTCTTTTATGATCTTACAGTATGTGATCAGAACAGCTATTAATTTTAATTAATTTTTATTTTAGTTGAAATTAATTGGAAATATAAAATTGAACATGATTATTTTGTTTGAAAAATAAAGTATCATAAACTTCTAACTTTTGAAAATTTTATGATAGAAAAATTATAGAAAACTATATCATGCTATATGAAAGTTTTTAAATCAGAAAATAGGTATTATTTAATCCTAAATTTCTTGCAATTTGATTAAGTTTTTCACTGTGAGAAAGAAAATATAATCAAGGGATATCATTGATACCCACCAGTCCAGAATGACCTGGTGATTAGGGCACTTATCACGCAATCTAAGGGTCGCAGAATGAAATCTTCATCACATTGAACATACTTGCCCTTTGAGATGTAAGGGCATTATAATGTGACAGTTAATCTCACTATTGATTGGAAAAAAGAGTAGCCCAAGAATTGGCAGTGGGTGGCATTGTCTAGCTGCCTTACCTCTAGCCTGTCACTGTTAAATTAGAAAAGGTTAAACACCAAGTTTGTTTAATCACTGAAATGTATTTTTTACATTTTAAAGATACTATTGCTACACTTTAACATTCTAATGTCATGTACATTTGCATTTAGTTGCACTGTGGGCAGTGCTATGTGGGATTGACATTTCACTGCATATCTACACATATAAATCAACACCTAAAGTCAGTTTCAGTAAATGTGTCGTACATTAACTTATATGTCTTCAAAAGACATGATAGAAAACCCAGCAATTCAAATTGAAATATGCTATGAAGTTGGAACAATGGGAGGAAATTACTTATTAAGCTGACCAAAGGTAGAAAAGTACATTGGAACTACATTGTTGGGTTACACAGGTATGTGGTAGAATAGGGTTAATTTGGTTTCAATTTCTTCCGCTATTCTGTGGTACTTTTCCATAACCATAGTCTTCATTTTATGGATGAGAAGATCTCAGGTGGGTCAGCAGTAAATTTAAGAACTTAAAACAATAAAATCTGTGGTTTGATTCCCTATGGTGAACAAAGAGCAGATAACTCATTATACAGCTTTGTGCTAAAAACAAATAAACAAATGGATGAGGACATTTTCTGAATTGACTTGCAATGTGACAGAGTATGTTTTTACTGTCTTAAATTCTTTGCTGGGTGAGTTGGGTTGGCTTGGGATGTAACAGAGTGTGTGCGCTAGCCTAAATTATTTTTTTTTTTTTTTCACTTTCCTTCATTAAAATGTTTATATCCTTTGGATCTACATCATTTAACAATATTGCTGTCCTTACTCAGAAATGGCTGTAACATATTTTACAAGCCATATCATTCATTATCTTTGCAGCATTAGACTGTCAGTTGGTGGGGAATTTTCTGTGAACTAAATATACGGTGCTAAACATATCACCTGTGTAGCAATGGCTCGCATCTGCTGTGACAAGTTATTGCTGTAGCATATGCAAATTATTTTTATATATAAAGTTTTATATACATCTCAGATTAATTAATAGAAAAAAGTAAATTCTCTGAAGGTTTGTTATAGTTAGTGAAGTCAGAAAATCATCTAATCATTATGTGTAATTAGTGAAGCTCAAACATAAGATTTATCATTTTAGTAAAACTTTGCTAATAATATTGGTTGTACCTAATTGTCTCTAGATTGATGCTGAAGAGTATGGTGAAGCATTAGCTTTAGCCAAAACCTATGGTTTAGACTGTGATCTTGTTTACCAACGACAATGGAGAAAACATCCTGTTTCCATAGCAACCATCCAGGACTACTTAGTGAGTAGTTTTGACTATCATTTATAGAAATTGTGTTCAGTGTGATTTTAATTAGTTAATTTTTCGTTATATGTTAAATACTCTTTCATTGGAGAGTTGCTTATTTTCAAGTCTGGTTATTGTCTAAGGATAAATTACATTAAAAACAATATGAAATTAATATTAAGGTGAAAATTTTGGAAAAAATATAGTGTAGTATGTAATAATACTTTTTTTTTGTAGAGTAAAATTACAAAGCGATCATGGGTTCTACATGAATGCTTAGAAAGAGTACCTGAAAATATTGATGCAACAAAAGAGCTACTGCAATATGGTTTGCAGGGTACAAACCTGGAGGCATTGATTGCTATTGGAAAAGGAGAAGATAATGGAAGGTTGGATTTGTTCAAAGTTTCTGAAATAATGTATCTAGCTATATTTGTGTTATTTGTTCAGCTTTTGTGTCACACTGTGCACCTGATGAGTTTAACACATTTTGCTTAACTGATACTTAACATATTTTACAAATGTGCCATGTGCTATACATGATACATATATATCACAAAGTACTTAATTATATGTTACATTTCATTCAGTTCACCTGTGTGCCATGTGCTATACCTAATGAGTAAGACACACAGTACTTAATAAGCATTTCATATAGTTCACTTGTGTGACCTGCTTTACGTAATCAGCATTATGCAGTAATGTTGAAACAGTGTGTGGCACATTTGATAGTGAACAAGAATATCACAATATTTTACTGAATGATTACATCTGTTTTACTTTGAAGTTTGTCAAATATTTTATCTGTATGTTATGATTTCTACTTGATTTGAGTTGGGGTGTATTTGATAAGTGTATCAGATCTTTTGTTTGAGCATTTTGTAATTAATTTTTTGTAAGATAAAAATTTCATATAATTTTTTCTTTTGTGTGAATTGAAACCATTTATTTATTGTGTTGCAACTAAAGCTTGTTACCTTTGATTACTTGCAGGTGCAAATGACAACTGATGGTTTTTTTTTTAGTTTTACTCCTAAAACATGGTGTTTAATTTTTCAGATGAAGTATTCATATTTTAAGATTTGTAACTACATTGTGATGTTTAACTTCATTAACTTTGTTAGTAATCAATCATTTTTTCAGTTAGAACTGCATTTTGTGTTGATATTTCAAATATTATTTTTTTGTTTATTATACATAACTCAAGGTTTATAGTAAGCCAACCAGATGTAATAGATGACACACTAAGAGACCACTATGAAAGTGAGAAAGAACTAGATGATACCAGAAAGGCAAGAGAACAGGAAAGAAGACAAGAATTATGGAAGCAAATAGATTTTTCTAAGTAATTTTTGTAATAATTGACTATGACGATGTGGCATGTGATGTAAAGCAGATAAACGTGTATTATTTTACTATTAGGTCATTAAGAAATTAATGTTGCATTTTGGAACACTTTCATTAACCACCACAAAAAACGCACATCACATATAATAGTTAAACGAATCACCTAAACGTCACGTTAGTGTAGCCTGTATAATGTGTAAAGTTTAGTATACGCTAATCCTTTATAGTGATGGCACACGACGAGACACATATTTGGCATGTAATAGTGTTTGAATACAAGAAGGGAAATGCCTCTGTGGCCACAAAGAATATCAAAGAAGTTTATGGAAATGTTTTGAATGTTCGTAA